CCGTCCTGGGAGAAGTTGTAATATTTAAAGGACGCGAATGTAAAAGGAGAGGAGAGGAGAGGAGAGGAGAGGAGAGGAACACAATTCTATTTATTTGAATATTTTGTGATTTTGTAGCTTTTGTTGAAATTTTCAGTGAAATCCTGATGGAAGCAGACTGAAGATTGTACGGGAACATCTCATTGAAGGAGATTTGGCAGTGTGTGTATTTATCTGCAGGTGAAGGCAGCAGCTAAACAAACCCCAAAGGATTTGAAACTTTAAAACCAGGTTCATAGTTTCACCCAAAAGAAAACTAAAGATTAATCTTGGTCTGTAGATCCTTTCTGTCTGCAGCCATGGCCTTCACCAGGGGCTTGTAAAAGGAACATCTTTCCTTACTAATCTCAAAATAATTCAGATATTTGGAGTTTTCAGTGCATCTTTATTTTAACTTCAGATACACCAGCCATGGCCTGATACTTCTTTTGACAAGTAACCTAAATAATACACCGAAGAACAAAGATTTAATGAATATGGTGTGAGAGTAGAAAGTGGGTGAACATCTCTTTCAGTCCAACAGCATTTTAGGGACTCTTCAGTGTTTTCAACAGGTATGAGGAGCTTAAGTGAGTATCCAACCTGCCCACTCATTCTAATATTAAGCAGCTTACAGTTTTAAAAGTAACTTCATTTTTAGGAAGAATTTAAACAATTGATAGTTGTTATTTCAACAATTATGGCACTCTTAAAAATAATAAGGCAAGCATGTGAAACACATCGAAACACAGGTCGTTTCCCTACCAAGCATCCCCCACTCCAGCATCCTGAGCTTGAAGTCCTCCATCAAAGCCCGGATGGCTCCCGAAAATCCCTTCCCCTCTCCCCGAGGGGCGCTGACATTTCCAGTGACCTTTTCTGTCCGCGACAGCGGGCACTGTCCTCTGGCTGAGCATCCCCCGCCTGCTCCGGGGGAGCGGGGTAAGAGCCAGCCGGGGGGAGCACAGGGAGCCTCCCGCTCCTCCCGCCCCGCCCGTCCCGCAGCGCTCTCCGGCACCAGCCGGGGTCCTGCCGAGACCCATCCAAGGCCGGAAAATCCCGGCTGGTTTCCCAGATATCCGCCCGAGGGACTGCCTGCGATCCGGTTCTCCCGGTCAGCATCTCTTAATGAACTCCCACATCTCTGACAATCCTACCGAGACTTTAAAGTGAGGCTTCTTCTTCCCGAGGGTATTTTTTAATACACTACTTAATGCCAATCAAGGGCTTTAAAAATGTATTCGCACCTCTGCTGCATTTGGAATCTCCGTCTGGATAAATAACCCCCAGTGACTGAGATTCTAGGACCCAGGATAGCTGACAAGTGCTGATGCGAAGATGTACAGATATGTTGCTCAGCGTGTTTTTGCTTTAAGGCTCTGAGGAGAGGGGAGTATATCCTATCCTGAGCCCAGAACTCCTGTGTCCACGCAGGCCATCGAGATGCTACAGATGTCTGGTCATATTTTTGATAAATATTTTCTCATGTACAGTTTTATTTCTTGTTCTCCAGTGGGTTTGTCTCTGCAGGGTTAGCTCATCACTCTACCTGTAGCAAGGGTCAAAGCTGTCACCTAAATAAAAGTAGTTATCATTGCCGGCTGTTAATGCAAGAGTAGTGTTTCTATGATATGGGAGGAGGGAGGGCGAAAGAAGAAAACTGGGGGAAAGGGACGAAACGAAGAGGGCACGGCCGAGTGCACCCCCAGGCTCGTTCGCAGCTCTAATAAAACACGGGGGCTGAGCCAGGAGCTTGGGCACGGCAGGAACCTCGGCTTTTTCGGACATCGCTTCCCACGGGGATGGGGTCGCTGCTGGGGCCGCTGCGATCGCTGCGGGTCTCGCTCCGGGGGCAAAGCGCGGCCCGGCCCGCTCCGGCGGTAGAGCTCTTGTGGAGCGGCGGGGCAAGGGGAAACCTGTCGTGGTGCCGGCCGTGGAGAAAATTCCCTGAGAGCTGGGAAAGGGATGGAGGGCCCCCCCTTGAAGCTGATGTCTCTCGGCCCTGGTGGCACAAAGCAAGGAGCCTCGAGAACCTTTCCCGAAGAGGGACAATTCAGTCACACCGGATCGTGGCACTTCCCAAAACCCGCCGTTCCCAGCTGAAGACGGTGAAAAACTACTGGAGCTAGACTGGTTTTCCGCCTTGGCTGACCCTTTAAATGGTTAACAAAAGGTTCCTGGGTCCATTTCGGTGTCGCTTTTCTTTCTCTCCCTCTCCCCTTCCAGCAGTGCTGCCAGCATCGCCCCATCCGGGCAGGTTTCTGGGGAACAAAGGCTGGGGACCTGGGGGACAGCCCCTCGCCCCTGCGAGCTGCTCTTAATGAGGATTCATTTCTTTAGCCTACAGTCCTGGCTTTCATTACGGAGCCTGTCTTGCTCTGTTCATGGTCATTAGGCTGCATCCCATATAACTCCCTCGCCAGATCATGTGCATGATTTTAAAAAATAGAAAATAAGAAAAAAAAATAAAAAGGAAAAACAAGCAAGCAAACAAAAACTTCAGTAACATTAGTAATCATCTTTATCATCACCATCATCATGTGGCCGTTCTAAATAAGCTACCCATTAACACAGGTTTTCTATCCCTCCACGTCTCTCCCAGCAGAGGTTTTTCTCCATCAGCCCTGTCCTGGGACGCTGCCGGGGGCTCGGCGGGCTGGGCTGGGGGCGGCGGGGACGCTCTTGCCCGCGGGGACGCGCCCGGAGCCGCCGAGGTCGCCGCCTTCTCACCCGCTCGCTGGAGAAACCCGATGCTCATACCGAGGAGATCTGGAGGCTTTTTAAATTCCTGCCCGAAAAGGTTATTTGGGATCTTTCGTTGACTTGGTCAAATTATTGTTTTTCCCTAGCGGAGAGGACAGTGGTGGGACGGAAGGCTGGAAGAGGACTCTCGGCAATATTTATACATTATATTCTCCTCTTCTCTAGTTTTTTCTCCCCCCCGCCTTTATTTTCCCCCCGTAAGTAGATCGGCAAATAAAACTTGGGTAAAGGTGAAGCAGAAAAGTCACTCCTTATATTTTTTTAAGTTTCTGTGGAGTGTCTCTGAACTCGTGAGTTTTGTGTGCGCTTTTATGTCTCCCCAGCTCTGTCGGGTTTTATGAAAATGAGCAGTATTGAAAGCTTTTCCATCCCGCTAGCTGTGAGCCTCACATAAATGATGTAAATGGCTCGAAGGGTTTTTTTCAAGTGAACTGTGTAGATCTGTGAAAATAATATCAGGGTTTTCCGTCAGAATGAGCTTAGCACTGTACTGAGGCGTACCATAATCTGACCCGACACCTCCGACCATCTGCGCTATCTATCTGCCTTCTGATTTACCAAATCTTCACAAGCAAAAGACAAATTGTACTTGATACTAAAGAAAAGACAGCGAGTCTCAGTCCAGCTCCATTTCTGTGGAGAAATGATTGGAGAAAATGTAAATCTGTTTAATTTCGGTCTACAGGAAACAAGCAAAGGAGCTTTCTTAAAGAAGGGGAGAAAGGAAAACAAAAACAATAGGAGAAAAAAAATAAGGGGGGAGGAAGAGACAATAACAAGATATCAAATTAAGAAGGGATTTTTTTGACAAGCATTCTAGAAAAAAATACATTGCATAGAGCTGAGGGGAGAACATATTGCGCTTAATTCAAAATATATGCTGCCCTTCCAAACATAGTCCCTAATATTCCCGGGAAGAAATTACCACTGAGCAGCTATTTGTGGAACAAAGAGTGGCTTCTTGATAATTTTCTACGGAAAATAAATCGTATCCTTGCAGCTCAGAAAGTGATTTTATCCCATCCTGAGACGTCTGGAGTTGGTCCCGCTTCTCCGAAGGGGCAGCCGGAGATCACCTCGCACCCAGCCCCACGGTCTCTCTCTCAGGGTACCGAGGGGGAAAAAAACCCACGCAGAATGATTACTACGAGGTGATCAATATTTCAAAAGATTCCCGAAATCTGCTTTAAGTCGCTTTCCTGACCTACAAATGACTTCTCACTCCTCGCGACTATTCTCGGCGTCTATTCAGGACCATTCAGCCGAAAAAAATAAGGGTTTAAATGTTAAAAAACAAAACAAAAAAAAATATAACGCTTTGGTTGAACGGGGAAGGGCGCTGGGCTCTGCAGATAATTCCTCTTCTTAACCGAAATGGGAAGTCACCTACATGGGGAAGGGGAGTTTTTCCCTAAATCTCGGCTGTTCCTGCGGTCCTCCCTCCGCATCCATTGTCAGTGGCGCTCCCAGCATCACTGTCATTGTAACGCAGACAATTTTTTATCCTATTTCTCAGCTTTGCCTTATTCCCCTCTCCTCCCGCGGGTGCCCGGAGCTCTGTGCGAGCATCACCTGGCCGGACCCCGCAGCTTTACCAGGGAGGATGTGGGGGTCCCGGCCGTCCTGTCGCTGGGACCACTCCCTCTAACCTGCATCCAGCACCCTGAAGCGGGAGCCCTTCTCTCCCCTCCCCTCAGCCTGCCTTCCCCGGGGCGGTGGGGCGGCTCTGCCCTGCGCGGGTCGGCGGGGCAGGGCGGCGGGGTCGCGGTCCCCGGGGAGCGGCCGGGGCTCGGCGGGGAGCGGGGCGGGGAGCGGGGCGGGGAGCGGGGCGGTGCGGGGCCTTCGGCCGTGATTGGCAGCGGCTGACAGTGAGTGGCAGCCCCGCCATGGAAACCCGGGAGCCAATCTGCCGAGCCCGCAGCAAATCAGCCGCTCCCGCAGCAGCGCCGCGGCGGCGGGGAGCTGCGCTTGTGCCTTTTCTGGTTTCCTTTTTTTCTTCTTCTCCTTTTTTCCTCCTTTTTTTTTTTTTTTTTTTTCTTTCCCTCCCTCCCCCCCCCCCCCCCCCCCCCGCACTTCCTTCCTTCTGCACTTTCTTCCCTCCCCCAACCCGAATTATTCCCGAAATAATCCC